GGCGTAATAATTTTTCAATTCGGCCGAATGGCCGCAGCTGCTTAACCTCAGTTTAGTTTTTGACTACTCTGGGCTACAAGTTTGCAGCGATCTGTGTAAACTCTTTTAAATATTACTTAAGTTAGTAATATTTGAAAGAGTTTACATCAAATATTATTTCTCTGATTTTATTTAATAGTAGAAAACTTACTATTCTATGCTTTTAATAAAATTAATAACATTACTTAGCCATCATTCAAGTATGACTTCCATACTGGAGAGGGGATAATGTACAAATTTTGTGACAGATTCTGACAGGGTGGGGTGTTAGTAAAATCATGATGTCCTAAAGATTCTGAAAAAGTTTCCTATTTGAAAAAAAAAATTTTTTTGTCAAAATTATTATGCAAAAATATTTTGATCAATGATCACACAGCAAAAAATTCTTGCTTATTTAAATAGTTACACATAGGGAAAGAACTGTACTAAATATACTTTGCTGCGAGTGCTGTAGTAGAACTTTTAACATGAAAGGATAATGGCAATAGTTTAACTGTTACAGATATGGATTACAGATAAATATGCCAATAAAACATATACCAGTATTGTTTGTTTGTTTTTTTTTTTTTTTTTTTTTTTTCAAAATTAGCTTATCTGGGCAGGAAATTTGAATAAATTAATATACTGTAGATTATTTGTTTTATAAAAATGCTTGGTTTTAATATCAGGGAGCTGATAGATCAAACATATCAGCATGAGATGTCTAAAAATTGATGACAAAATGTGACAGGAAAGGGTTAGGTAGACAAAAAGGACTTAAAATTATCATCATATTTCAATGACTCATTATTCTGAAGAAAGCAATTTTTATTTATTAGATGTGCTATGATACTGAAATGTGTTTTATTGGTTTATTATTAGAGAATACATATTACTCAAATTGCAATTGCTTATCATTACGGTAATAAATTATTATATTTTATATATAAAACATTTTATAAAATGCTACTAAATGATTTGAATTAGAATAGATACTAAATTGGATAACAAAATAGTATACATTTATTAATGTTTAATTTTGTTTTTGCTTGTTGACTATAAATATAAATCAATCTGAGATTTGCTGTTATTTCAGTAAACCATTTGAGATTCTATTATTGTTAGTTGTAGTTGATTGAATCAATTTAACTCTGTAAATAGATGTAGTAATTTAATTAAGTGAAAAATTTAAATAATCAATTTATTTTTACCCCTAATACATGAATTCTATTTTTTTGAATAAGTAGTGTGTGTGTGTGTGTGTGTATATATATATATATATACACTACTTATCCAAAAGATAATATAGTTAAAATAGTTAAAATATATATACAAAAATATATACAATATATAAAAAAGTTAAAATATATATACAAGTTTTTAATTAGTCTACATTTTCGAAAACAGCATTAAAAATCATTTTGTAACAGAATAATATGACGAATAATTATGGAACAAGAAAAGCATTTTTTTTAATGTGGAGTGTAAATATTCTTCCGTTATTTTCTCTTGTAAAAAGTTTTGATTTAAATTTTTATGTTCTATTCATGGAACATTTACGTTCCGTTGTATTTTTCAACCTGAAGATGGCCTATTAATTAGGCTGAAAACGTTTGTTGTTTAAAAATTATATTTCTCGGCAAAAAAGGTGTTTTGTTTATCTTTATCTTTTGTAAATATGTACCGGTAATCCTATGTTCTTTATTAGTAACCTTGCACTTTTACATGAATAAGGATATAAGAGAATTCTTGCAAGACAAACCATTTTAAAAGATTACAGGCCGTTTCTAACAAAAGCACATCACTATCAAATATTTTTAATAATAATCTGGAATTAATATATAAGAAGTCTGCGATTTTTAATGTGACGATTATCGATTTTTATGCTGTACGATGACATACTCATACATAATGATGAGTTCTTTTAATAACAAATTTTTACGATATATTATACATTATAGTGTATAACTTTTATGTTAATGTACAATGAAATATAATAAATGTCAATTAATTTTCGGATTATATACATATATGCGAGTATATAATTGACACTTATTATGTTTCATAATTCATAGTTATGTAAATATTTACCAATAAACAAAACTTGAATTTAAGATTTATTGCATAATTTTATGATGATAATTGCTTTTAATTTACACATTTATTATTACATCCTGTTTTTCGAAAATTCCGTATACATTATATATAAAAATTACTCAAACATATTAATTTTTTAGATAATTTGAATATATTCTAAAAAATAACAAAGCAATAATCTCTTATTTATGATAGCCTCACTAAAATGTTGCACTACCAAAAATTCCGATTAAAAATTAAGAACCATCAACTTAATTAAATAAAATAGAAATAATTAAATAAAGTAGAAAATTATTTTTAATTTTAATTCTTATGAATTATTTATACCTTCATCGAATAAATTATTATTAGAGAGAAATTCGAATAGAATAAAATCCTTCAATCTGCTAATTTTAATAATAGTTGATTAATTATATATATTTTTTTTCAAAGCTCCCAGGACTCAGAATAAGCCATCCGCTCCAAGAATAACTTCTAATAGATTAGCTAGTAGTGGAGATTCTCAAAGGATAGAAGAATTAAACAGCCAGGTTAATGATACTGTTATATTATTTAATAACAATAATAAATAATAATACAATAAATTTGTTATTTATATTATTAGTAACAAGAGTAGTGTAATAACAACAATATTATTACCGTTAGTATTATTTTGAAGACATTATACATTTTCATATAAAATGAAATCAATTTTTTTTATAAGTTAGTCAGCTTGAAAATCTCACTTCTATTATCGCGTTGACGTTTTCAGTTTTTTAACGTAACAACGAAATCTCTGGAACTATGCAATGATAACAGGGCGGTAGATTTTAATTAATAAAAGTGTATACTGTTTTAAAATGAACAGAAGAGTAGTGTAAAACTAGTCTTTACATAAATCAAATACACTAATAATAATAATTTTAATTTAATGAATGTAGATGGCTGAACTTAAGCTAACGGTGGAAGGCCTGGAAAGAGAACGTGATTTTTATTATGGAAAGTTACGAGATATTGAAGTTCTTTGCCAAGAGCAAGAACATACTGAAGATAAAATGGCTTTAATAGAAAGAATTTTGGAAATCTTATACGCAACAGAGGTTTATAAATTACATTTTTAAAATAACAAACTGTTTATATATATACATAAATCTAAAAATTAATATTTTAAACTGTTACAGGAAGGTTTTGCGGTTCCAGACGACTTCACTGAAGATGCTATACCACCTCAAAATGACGAAGATGAATATTAATATCAGCTATACTTCTTTCATTTCCAATACAGTGTTCGTCTGCTTTCTTTCATATATATACATGTATGAAGTAGATTTGCTGGTTTAATGTGTTCCGCAATCTGAAAACAACAACAACAAAAAGTTATGCTGAATTATTAGTAATTGTGTTTATATATCCAATTTAGTCTTTGTCGTTTCCGGCATAATATAAAAATTATGGAAAAGCTACAAACTGTTACCAGAATCGCAAAATACAGTAATTTAAAAATAAATTACAAATAATATATATATATACATATATATAAATATTTAAAAAATGGAACAAAATAATAATAAAATGCTTCAAACGATTTTAAAAACTAAATATAAAAATCAATAATTATTTAGTTACTAAACTAACGACCGGCATAATTATTGTATAGTTAAAGACTGACGTATTTTCTAGAAGCCAATATTATGGTGCTTCTTCGTGTTAAATCTTCTCATTATCATCGCATGTTCTATTGAGGATCGCTTTATTCTTTTTTGTATATGTTAGTACAAATATATATATATAGATGCAAATCTCTTAATTCATCACTTTCTATGATTTAATATCGGATATTATTTCTCGTTAATTGTAAAATAATGCATATTAATTTATAGTAGTTATGTAGTGTTTTTATTTGTTTATAGAATTGTTATCTACATTATTGTTAAGTGAATTATGTTTTATTGTACACAATTTTACATGGTACGGTACTCTTAACTACAAGTACCATTACCACCCACACACACACATACACACACAAAGATATATTGTTATAATAAAGTTTATTCATCTCTGCTGATTACTTTTTTAATGATTTTTTGCAATGAAATGATATCTATTTATAATATATTTACATACTTTAAACAGTTATCCATCTTTTAAATATTGCAGTTTATTGCGATAATGTCACAGTTAAATATTCAGAAAATCGATTCCTTTGTTACATGCTGTAATCGATGATGCAATATATAGCTACTTTGAACCGTTCGTCGAACTCGATTATATTCATTACATGACATAACATGATTTAAGACTGTATAAAGATAAGTTTCTTATTTTTGGCGACCGAATTTTGATCATATTTAAATCAGTTTAACATTCAGGAAGTCGTTGTGTTTATTCGTGTGCAGAAGTTTAAAAACTGTATTTTTAATTACACAAATTGAATATAAGTTTAGGTAATGTAAAGAAGTTTTTCGCTGATACCAACATTTAATTATAAAAGGCAAATTCCAAAGTATTAAATTCATTTTTGTTGAAGTATTCTTTAAGATAATGATATTTTTCAAATTTTAACGAATTTCAACAGCATTAATAAAAGTATTTCAAACAATTTCCGGTTTTCCATTAGCTTAACTAGAACCATATTAAGGAATCCAGAATTAGGACTTGCAAACCGAAATTTACCGCTGGACCACTGTTGATGAAGAGTAAACTCTTATTTGATTACTTTGATAGTATTTATTTGATTTTTTTTCTTCATTTATTTAAAAAACAAAACTTAAGTTGGCCCGATTTCCTTCCTGATCGTTTCTGAGAATCACATTTTACAATATTAATTGGGCTACAATTTTTTTAAAATTGTAGACCTATAAATGTCCATTATCATCCGTCCATCATTCTTCCCTTAATCTCGAGAACGGAATTAGATTAAAGACGAGACCAAATATGGAAATCTTAGAGGCAGGAGACTATGTAAGAACTTATCTATGCAAACCGAAAGTAACATTTCAGTTCAAAAATTTTCCCCTGAAAGGTGTTAGATAAATGACCGATACGACTCTATTAAAGGAAAAGTATGATGTACAGGGGAAAACCACTACTAATTAGAGGTAGTATATACTGTATTTTAAATTAAATAAATTAAAAATATGATTACANAAAAAACTCTCACTAACTAACTATAATTAAAAGTGGATTACTTATTTTATGTAAACAATAATCAATTTAAACAGGCACTGTACATACATTTATTTATTGTTATTTGATAAGTATATTATATAAAATCACAGAAGTCATTTCAATACATGCATAAATTACATTTCCTAAAATTAAATAATTATAATTAACAATAAACAAAATTTAAATTATTCTACAATAATTTCTAACAATTTAATGTGATATTTGTTGCAATAAATCTTCAGCAATATTTTTCAAATTTGGTTCCCACTTTGTTAACTGACAACGAATGTCTGCTGATGCGTCAAGCCTGTTTCTTTTTTTTAGTTTTTGTCACAAATACGTTAAAATGGTAAAAGTTTTCTTTAGACCTTTTAAATTGGACCTTACATAGCTTTAGCTCCATCAGTGCAGATGTTGATGCACTTTTTTCAATCTATTTCATTACTTCGAATGAAATCATCAAAACCTGTAGTTGTATTTTTTAGGTCATCACACATTAACAAATCTTCACAAAGCTCATCGTTGTACTGATATTTCACAAAAACTAAAAGTACTGTCAATCCACTGACATTGGTGCTTTCATCTATTCTAAAATTAATGCTTGGTTAAATTGAAATTTTACTAGACTACAGGTTCACTTGGCACTAACGGCACAAATAGACGGGTAAATCAAGTGGATAAACAAGTTGTTTGGACTGTTAAAAAGGAAATCAGTGTTCATACTGGGATATTTTAAAGCAAGTTTTTGTCATTTCTTGTGTTAATAATTTACAGCAAATTCATTAACATGTGCCATTTTATAATGAAAGTTAGATGTGCCCCTTTGATTTATGCTCGTACCCCTAGGGATACATGTACCCCTGGTTGAGAACCACTGAATTATATCATCAATAAAAAAAAATCACTAGAGACAAATTTTATCTACATTCATTGCCATAAAAATTAACGCATCAAGAAGAAATTATATTGTGAAACTTGACATGCATATAAGTCTCAAGCAGGTATGGAAATGATTAGAGTTACATCGTGATGCTTATTGCATAATGCTAGCAGAGGGCATTAAAGTGCATCTCCCTTGGCCTATAGAAAAAGCATGCAGAGGCATAGAGGCATCCTGTCTGTAGTTTATCTATTTCAGAGGAATGTTGTATCAGTAGAGATACCTTTTCATTGCAATCAAAGATCATATGAATAACTGAGTTTGAGAGGGGAAGGATCACCGGGTTGAGAGAAGCTGGATGGTCACTTCCCGAATAGCCCGCCACCTAGGCTGTTCTGACAACACTGTGAGAAGGTGTTGGGACCCAGTGGATGAGAGAGAGTTTGCACACATGGTGTTCAGGCTCAGGATGCCCTTTGCAGACCATTAGCCAAGACTGCCTGGTCCTCCAATAAGTATGCATGCAGTTGATCGTAACATTGTCTGCCATCTGGACACAGGTTATGCCATCATTACAGGCCCATGTCTGTCCATCCCATTTCAAGGCTCCTGGGTGAGGAACATTTGGTATTGCAGCAACCATTACGTGTGCTGCCACTGATACCCTCCGTCGCCTCCATATGGAGTGATGTTACTCCTGACGGGATTGGACCTCAATGGAATGGAATCGAGTCATCTATAGTGATAAATCCAGATTCAGTTTGGGTACTGATGATGGCTGTGTTCATATCTGGAGGTCTGCGGTGAATGCCTCAATCCTTTCTATGCTTTGGACTGGCACACCACAGCTGGTGTGATGGTCTTGGGTGCCATCACATACAACAGCCAGTCACCTCTAGTAGTGAGCTAAGGGACCATGACAGCCCAACGGTATGTTAGTGACGTCCTACAGTCACTTGTGTTGCCTCTAATGGCAGGTCTCCCAAGAGCAATTTTCCAACAGGACAATGCTTGACCACACACAGCAAGGGTGTCACAAGAGTGCCTCTATCACATTACCACACTTTCCTGGCCTGCCCAGTCCCCTGATCAAACATGTCTGGGATCACCTGGGATGCCAAGTTGGATGGCCTAGGAGTTTGGCCAAACTAGAAGATCCTTTGCAGCAACTGTGGACTGAGATGCCACAGGATACTGGACAGGACAGGAGACATATGGTGTTATATCACCATACGTCTCCATATCTACCTGTATCTCCTCATATATTCACGCTAGACACCCAACAGGTTACTAGAATTTCCTTTCATTTGTACTGTAATTATTCCTGCAATAAATGATCCTTTTGCTTTCATTTTATGATCACTTACTTATATTACCGTTAGTTACACTCACACATGTACAATTTTATCTGATTATGAGAACTTGGTGCATTAATTTTTTGGCAATGAGTGTATTTCGGAATAGTTTTCTTGCCCAAAGTGGGGATATTAAATTAAATACTTTAGTATCTGAATAAGACTGAACGATAATGAGTTATTATTTTTGCTGTAAGAAGACCAATTTGACCAATTACTATTTAATTCAAATAATAAATAAAACAAATTAAGCTTTTTGGATAAGTCTACTGTCATAATTCAAATGCTATCATTCTGCAGGGTGTTCACGATATTACTAGTATAGTCTGCACAGTGGAAAAGTAGACTTGAGTCAGTCTAAGCCAGAGATCTATTTCAGATGGAAGGAAACATGAAAGTTTACACATGGATCCATCTCTTGGTTATTTTGTGGTTTACATTTTTAAAATGTTTTTATACTATCTTTATCAAGAATAATTTTATTATTTTACATTTTTTACAAATTTTATTACTATGATCCTGTGTCCTTCCATCCCTTTCATCTGACACAGTCCTTCCTGCTCAGGTTGAGTTATGTCTAATCTTTCGCTGCGCGGACTATAAATGGCCTCCTATTGGACTAATTTTTACCGTTCCGTTTTCTGCGACGGCAAAAGTTGAAAATTTTCAACCTTATATTCCATCAACTTCGATGGCAAAAGTGACGTAATTTTGCCTTCTGTTCGTCCGTTTCCGCGTGTGAGTACTAGACTGTTGTTTTTATTTTTAAATAACAGCTGAAAAAAATCCAGAACGAGTTGCCTAACTTACCCTGCAAGAGTTAAAAATTGTGTACTGCGTCATCTATTATGAGATTTTATTTTTAAAAAGTTTTTATATTAATATAAAATGACAAAAAGCGTAATCTTCAGGTAGAGATGAGTTCTATAAAAAAAAAAAATTATAAATGCTAATTAGGAATAAAATTATTAAGTTCATATCATCACCCCCTAATACCCAAACCTCTGCAAAATTTCAGAAATTTCGACAAAAGTTAAGTTTTAAAGTGGGTGACAAAATCATGCCCCTCCTTACACACAACCAGAAAAGTCTCCGAATTGTTTTTCCATTTCTTCACGTTTTAAGGTTCCTGAGTCTTAAAATAAAAAATTTTTGACCGGTCACCGTACTTTTCCTCTGTTATATAACAGCCGGAATAGTAAAACATTGTTGAATTACAACCCGTTCCTAATAAATGTTTCGTTCTTGGTTTACAACAAACTTTCAAATATTATGTTAATGAAACCGAAACCAAAGATGACGTCATTGCAACTTTTTTCTTTAACTATACATCGTGGAAATCATTTTTATATTAAAAATATTATTTTAAAAACTGTATACAAATGTTAATAAATATATTCAAATTCAGCGAATCTTCGTACCACACTGGCTTCTGGAAACAGTAATTTTATTTCTTAATTAATACAGTATAAAGTTTTAAGGCAAAATGCGATCCTCGTTTATTATTTTAATTTAAACCAATATCAGCTTACATCTGCAAATGTTTGGTGAAGTAAGCTTTCTTTTTCCGAATGTAAGGTAATCCTTGACCTGGATAAGAGTATAATTTTTGGAAAGTTTGGTTACACAGGCTCGTACAGTCTTCAAATGCATAAAG